AAAGTTTTAAAAAGTGAATAAAAATGTGAATGAAAAAAGCACGAATTTATTGATTGAACAAATTTTAAATTTGAGAAAAAAAGGCGCATTTCTTATTCTGAACTGCGTAGAGTCTAGGCTAGATCTCAACCGCTGGTTCAACCGCTCCCGCTGAGTTTTTTTCTCCAAAGTATATATCATTCATAAAAATTAATAAAAATCGGCGATAACTTGAATTTATTAGACTCATTGTAAAATTGAGTTTCGATGACCCCGGTTATTTTTAGTACGCTTTGGAGGGTCGGAGAAACAAGGTTTTTCTATTTTTTAAATTTTGAGCATTATTGGGGTCATTTTTTTGGGTCCCCTTGTTTGTTTAGATTTTTGTGAAATCGGATTCTGTAGAACTCATGGTAAGGAAGATTTTTAGTCACACAAGGTCGAACTTATGGGTCGATTTAGAGCACAGTGTCTCCCAATAGCTGCAGAAAAATTCTATATTTCTATCAGCCTTAATAGCTTTGGCTCCTTATAATTAGATCTTTGATATTTCAAACTACGAATTCTGCTAATCCCCCTAAAAATCAAAAATTAAAAACAAAAGAATATTTTTACTTTCTTATCAAACCAGCTGTTGACTATATGCTTAATTTACTGCAGTTGTGTTTCTTTATGTTCACAATTATAAGAGCTGATAAGAAGTTACATTTCCTTAGACAATTTTCCCCCTCAAAATCCCTCTCATCTTCCGCTTTATTGTAATTCCCCTTACCACCCGCAAATCCCCCTTCCCCCACAGCCACCCAATCCCGTTCTCCCAATTTTCAACCCACCCCCCCTTCCATCCTCCACTTCCGCCACTTTTATTTTCATTTAGATAAATTCAATTTCGCAAATGTCATTTCCTTAAGCTGTAAATGCTCCGGCTTTGCGCTAAAACCCAAAAATAAGGAAGCAATTTAGAGATGGAAATTTGTGAATTTTAATTTTGGTCAATAAATGCTACAAGTGTAACTGTAATTCATGAAAGTTCTAATAACTTTGAAACAACTAAGTAGATATATTAAGAACAAATGCGAGTCAATTTTTTTAGTCAATAAAGTTCTACCATACAGTAGAATAGTTTAAACAAGTCTTACCTAGTTCAACTTCTTCATTTTACATTTATACATGTTGATGCGGCCATTTAAAAATACCGGAAGTTTGATTAAAAAATTATCTTTCAATATTTAATTATTTCAGTCAATAATTTTTAACTTAATATTTTAAAGTAAATTCCCCAAAGCATTGACAAAGAGAAAATTGTGAAAAATGAGTCAGCAAATTAAAACAAAACAGGCTAATATTTTATTTACATTTCTTGATTCAAGTGTTTATCACATATTCTAGCGTAATTTATGCATGTACAGCTTTAAGTCCAAAATCTAGCTTTTTTGTTGGGTGGGGGGGGGGGGCGAGTAGATTGTTAAAATGTTGAAAATGTTTACGGAATTTCCGATGGATCCCTAAAATGTATAATGGATATCGATTTCAGTAAAACGTTGCAAAGGGGTAGATGATAAATAGTTTGACTGGACAGGGGTAAAAGGGAGATAAAACTATGATAGTTTAAAAAATCTGTGAGAAGTTTAAGCCCAGACGGGAACCGGAAGAAATATATCTGAAACACTCACAAGGGGGGGGGGATGGATACAAAATATTTATCCAAGAAAACATTCCAAAGAATTTAAATTCTTGATTTCTTAGAAAGAATTAATTCTAAACTGATGTTTATATCTGTTCTACTGTAAGTCGTATATGACTTTTGATATTTCAACATAATAAGATTCCTAAAACTATCTCTTGACAACTTTTCTTTCTTGAGTTTATTTTTCCTGACCTGTCCCCTTGTTCCTCCAAGAAAACTTAATATTCTGAGGACTAATTATCTTGTAAAATTAGACAGCATCTAACTGTTCGGAGAATTTTTTAAGCAAATAGGCAGAAATGTGACCTAAATACTTAAAAACTATTTGTGCTAAATCTTCATCATATTTTAAATATGTATTCTCATAAATTCCATTAATCTTGTGATTTTTTCTATTCTTCTGCAGTTCTTGTATTTTTTAACCTTCAAGTTAGAATCTTATTACTGGCTTTTATAAACTCAATTTAAAGTTGCTAATTTATTCTTTTCTCTGTGTTTCTTCTTTCCGATCTTCAAGGATTTCTATAACTTTCTTGTTCTTGTTATTCTTATTCGTTTTTCTGAATTTTCTCTCCCCAATTTCCGTCTTATTATTTTCCAAACAAAATCTGTTTCTAAAGAGTCCAAATAGATGTAAAAAAAAACATCTGTTCTCCATTGTAATACAGTGTTAGTAGTTACTTGGGCGAAGGTTCAAGGATACCAGTGTGAATCGGTCACGTCACTCTTTTAATAATGGTTCACTTGAAATTACGTTTACAGTCCCTTTATGCCTTATTTATATAGATATATCGGGCACTGGTACTATCCTGAGGGAGGATGGGGTTGGATGGTTTGTCTGGCTAGCTGTTTACTTAACATACTTATATCAGGTATGTTTATATAAATCACAAGTGATAACAAAAATCGAAGCAGTTTTCAATGAAAAGTTTTCGATTATGTGCAAAAAAATGGAAAATTTTGAATTTTTTTGACCAGGTCATAGAAATATTTTTGAAATATTTTTTTTTATATTTAAAAGTTCAGCACAGGAAAATCAAGAATTTTGGCAGTTAGTCTTATTTTAACGCAGTTGTTATGAACAGTGACACAACTTGGGGGGTGGGCGAACGGAGTTGCGCCCCCTCCGTCCTACCTATCTACCTAATTAGCTACTTACCTACCTAGTTACCTACCTACCTAGTTACCTACCTACCTACCTACCTACCTATCTACCTACCTACCTACCTATACCTACCTACCTACCTACCTACCTACCTACCTACCTACCTGCTTAGGTATTCTTGAAGTATCTGCCCTTGTTGTAAGCTATCTAGTATCACCTGTAAGCTACTACCTGGGATCTACTAGACCTGTAAGAGTAGTTGCTGTATCTGGAACTATTCTGCTTACTCTAGGAACATTATCTTCTACAGAACTCTTGCAAATGCAACTTTTCTTTCAAAGCCTTATTCGCTCATTGGTAAATACTACTTTTAACATTTTACAGGGTGTCCCAAAAAACATGGGAATTCAGTGACGAATTCGATATCGTCTTTGTTATGAATTAGCATTAAAATACCTAATTATAAAAGCAATAATATTATAATGTCTGCTAGAGTTTATTTAAAGAAAAGGGTAAAAGACTGCAAAGATGTGTCTATAATGTCTCCGCAAGATGACGCCCCCTCCGAGCATTTTGCGCCCCCCTTTTGCCCCCCCCCGAATCCCCTCACTTGACTTCAGCATGATCATGATTGTGGGCGATTTTTTATCCAATTTTCCCAATTAAGAAAAAAATACCAACATTTCTTCGGCGCATCATTTCTAATGGAATTTCTAACTATTTTCTCTTTTTCATCTCAAGAACAAGTCATAGATAATATAAGAATTTGGTATATTATTGAGCACATAGTCTATTAACAATTAAAAAATGCGTATGTGATCCGTCTTTATTATTTCAAAAAGAATCTTCAAACATATATATTATATATCTAATGATGATAATAAAAAAAAAACATTTTATATGTTTTGCTAAGATGAAATGCCTTTTCTTTGACTTTAACATTTTCCATTACAGAGCGTGACTTTCTTTTTGATATTTGTAAAAAACCAACTTGTAGATTTTATATTATACAGTAACAAGTACAATTTGTGACAGAAATATTTTTATTGCAATAAAAAAAGATGATCTCGCAAAATTAAACTTTAACTTTGAAAGCTAAATTCTCTGGCAATCCCTCTAAAAAATTTTCTATATTATCTTTTCTGCTATTTTTACTATTAATTCATTTACATTTGTCATCTTATCAGTCTATCTATATATCTATCTATATCTATCCCTCTATCTATCTATTCTTCTATCTATATATCTATCTATCTATCTATCTATATATCTATTTAACTATAAAGCAATAATCAGAACAGCTTCTCAGTTTTCATATTTATATATCTAATTATTTATCTATCTTTCCATATATCTATCTATCTATTTATCTATATATGTATCTATCTATTTTTCTATCTATCTATCTATCTATCTATCTATCTATCTATATATCTATATAACTATCTACATCTATATATAAATTTGGCTTGTCTGTCTGTTTGTCTGTCTGTCTGTTAGTTTGTATCCAAAAAACGTCAAAACGACTGAACCGATCGGGCCCACATTTTTTGAGGGACATCATGTGATCACAGGGAAGGTTTATGAATGATAAAAAAAAATGTGTTTTAAAGTTTTTTATTTTTGTAAAAAAATTTAAATTCTTGAAAATCCGCGAATTTTTTTTAAAAAACCGCAAAATTTTTTCTTCTTTGTTTTAAAATGTAAACAAAGAGAACATGTTCACAATTTACATAGAAGATGGGCGCGAAGCGCCCTAAAAGCCTAGTTTATATATATATTTAGCTATCTTTATATCTATTTATCTGTCAATCTATCTATCTTACTATCTATCTATCTATATTTCTATCTATTTATCTATCTATCTAGGAATGATCATGTCCTCTCCTCTATACCTCTCAGTTCCAATCAGAATAAAATTTGGAAATGTTCCTCAACACATTCTTGGTAAATTATTTAATCTAGTAAACAAAAAAATACCTTTTTTCAATCTACCTTTCACCAATCTACGGTTCCCCCGGTCTTCATGTCTATCTTCCTATCAAACTACTGTTTACCTTTCTAACCTTTCAATATACCTATATACGGTCATACTATAAATACGCTACACTAAAAAACGCTACACTAAAAAAACGCTACACTAAAAAAACGCTACCCTAAAAAAACGCTACACTAAAAATACGCTACATAGGCTATATTCGCTACAAGTTTATTGCCTGTTTCTGTGTGTGTATAAGTTTATAATTTATAGAGATATATATTCGCTACTGTTCTAAAATAAATATATATAAAAATTTTCATATCCATGTACATGGTAACAAGTTCAAGGTATTGTTCAGTATCGTACTACTCCCCTCCCCCCTCAATCAGGTTGGTGGTCACCACACAGTATACACTTTTTCTTTATATACATTGTTTAAATAAATAAATAAAATATATATAAAATATATATAATTTATATATTGTTTTAATTTGGTCACATGGTAACAAGTTCAAGGTATTGTTCAGTATTAGACGATATCGAATTCGTCACTGAATTCCCATGTTTTTTGGGACACCCTGTACTTTATAAAATGGTTATTTTGACCAATAAAATCAACCATTCCTGACTTAAAGAAAATCTTTACTAGTTCTGATAATTCGAATATGATGTCTTTAATTTAATATTTTTGTAGGGTAACTTTTAAGATTGCAATTTTTTTATCCTTTCGATAATTATTTTTCTGTGCATCCATGTTTAGACACAATCAGAGATTTAACCTTACTGCAATCCTAAATATAGGACACAAGTTCTTATAAAAACGGGTCCCAAATACAAATTTACCTTATTATAACCCCACATTACTATCCTCTGCCGATTTAGTAATTGTAAATTGGCGGTACAGTCCAAAGTAGGACCGCAAAGGTTGGCTCAGCTCGGATATCTAAATGTATACCGGTGGGGCGTGACATGCGATCAATCTTCATCAAATTTTACATCAAACCTTATCGGTAAAATTTGTGCTAAAATATTTAATTATTTTATCCTAAATATTGTGGAAAGTCTGATAAAAGATAGATTTCAGGATTTCTGTTTACTTCCTTCAGTTCTCAGTTTCATCAATTATTCATCAGTTTATCCCTGTGTATAGGTAGGTTCATATATATATATCTAAACATGATATAATTTTTTCTTATTGGATTTTTTTTTAAATACTTGCTTTTAAATAAATCTTTCAGAAGCATAACTTCTAGAATTTTCCTTTTCTTTGGGTGATCGAGTGCAATGCAATGCAATGTAGAATGTAGATTGCCTGAGGAAGATGTAATATTAACCTAACCCCCCCCCCCCCCCCCCCCCGGGAGCCCCCCCTCAAGGGGGCACGCGTAGGGGGGGGGGGCATACGCCCCTGCATTTTCTTGAACGAGGAGATTCAAGTTTGAAACAAGCTGTGCCAGCATTAAATATTTATAAAAAGAAGAAACTTAAAGTTCAAACAAACCTTGGTTCTTTAGTTTCTCTCCAATTAGAGCACATTCTTTTCTTTTTATTTTTACTCTTTTAACATGTAATGGGACTTTAAGCGTAATTTAAAGTAACCCTATATTAATAGAGTAATATGTCCGATTTAAACGGTACCCTTATGAATTATGATATCCATATTTTTATTTTTAAAACCTGTTTATTTTCCTTTGTGCAGCAGTTTCTCTGCATAAGCGACTTGCGTATTTCTGCTGCAGGAACAATGTAGAAATTATCAGAAACTAATACTTTTCAAGTCAAAAAAAGACATTTCACACGTTATTATTTAGATTAATGTTTTAAATGTATAGTATGCCCCTATTTAAATGGAGGATCACCTAAAATTATGACGACAGTCCCTTAAACAAATGAAAACAGAATATAATCTTTTATATATTTAATTGTTTTCCGCTTATTTTTGTAAGAGTTGTTTGTGCTCTATGTAAATAATTTGCTAAGATTGAATTGAATTGGATAAAATTTGCATTTCAAGCTGGTTTACTCTCTACACTCCTCACCTTAATGTGTTTCTTGTCGTACATTAGGAGATTAAGCTTCAAGATTGACAACTAAATTCAAGACTTTGTGTATAATTTTACAAAAATTGATTTTATTTATGCACAAATGTACAACAAGGTTTTTATGCATAATTTTACAATTTTATAACAATTGACTTTTAGTGCACACAGTTGTACAACAAGACTTTATGTATAATTGTACAATTTTACAACGATACAACAAATAAGTCTATTTTAAATCTATTAATTTGCAGATCTTTGATATTTCAAACTATGGATAATGTGAGATCAGTAGCCAAACTTTGAAATATCGAAGGTTTTACACCATCAGATTACAAAATAAAGGAATTCAAATTAGGACTTGAGGCGTTTGTTCAGAGGTTACAACTTCTGTGGTGTAAATCCCTGTATTAAACATTGATCCGTATATTTTTATGTCTAAAGTATTAAACTAATTCCTATAGAATAGCATGTGATTAGAGCGTTGTAAATCAGCACATTCGGACACAAAGTTTTGACCTCAGTTTCCTGTTTATCCAGGCGTAGGGTGGACCCTGGTACGGGAAACTAGCACAGTTATTCTAAACCAATATTTTAAGAAGAATAAACATACAGTGGAAACTTTACATTGCGCTTCAACAGGTAAATGGTTTTATTTTACAAACCAGAAAATTGTGGAATAGGAAGACGACATTCAAGCAATACTTTATTTTAGGATTTCACAAAGCAAGTAGTTTTTAAAATCACTTAAAAAGTTAAATGAGCCTGGTTGCACTACAAGTATGTTTCATGTTAATAGGATTTTTTGAAATTTATAACTTGAATCTAAAGACGTCTTTCTATTCCACAATTCTAAGGCTATCACTAGTCACACTCATTTTTCACTGTACTATAAGGGGTGGTTCCCTGAATCATGATTCTAAATGTCAAAGCCGCAGCGTTAAACACCCTTTATATTCTGTTAAATTGTACCTAACACGAAGTCAGGGATGCAATCATCATCATTGGAGGAATATTGGAGTCCCCCAACGAAAAAATGGGGTCTTCAATGAAAATCTGGGGGTCTCCAATGAGAATCTGGATTTTTCTAACGAAAATAATGGGGATCTCCAACGAGACGTCCATTGGGGTCTCCAATAGTACTCCAATGATGATGCTTTCTCCCTGACTACCGAACACAAAAGAAAGTTTAATTTTGAAAATTACACCTGAGCCCGCGAATTAAGTGGAAAAAATGAAAATCTGGGGGTCTCAAACGAAAATTTGGAGTCTTCAGATGGAGTGACAGCAATTAAGGCAATGGACAAAATTGGAAATTTCCCAAATTCCTGGAAATCTCAGAAATACTCTAAATACCTGGGAACTTCGGAAATTCCCCAAATTCTTGGGAATTTGGGAAATACCCCAAATACCTGGGAATCTTAGAAAATTTTCCAAGTACCCAGACATTTGGGGAATTCCCCAAATATCCAGTCATTTGAGAAATTTCCAAAATCTTAAAAATATACACTCTCAAATTCCTATAGGAAAATGGAAAATTTCGGGAAATCTCCAAATGCCTGGAAATTGGGGAAATTTCCCAAATATCTGGGAGTCTGGGGAATTCCTCAAATGCCTGGGAATCTGGGAAATTTCCCAATACCTTAAAATATCTGTGGGTGTTTTATTTAACATTTTCAGGAATTTCTCAAGATATTGGGAGGGAATATGGGGTATTCCCCAAAAACCAGGGAATCTGGGAAATTCTCCAATTCCTAAAAGTATCTGAGGGTGTTTTATTGAACATTCAATATTTTCAGGAAATTTTCACAAATACCAAGGTATTTGGGAATATCCTAAATATATTGAAATCTAGAAAATTACTCAAATTACTATTTTATTCAAAAGTATAATTGATATCGGGTCAGGTAAAGGCAAAGCTTACATTGAGACTAAAATACAAGCATTGGACCTTATTTTGAATTAATGCTTGTGACTATTTGTTCTTAAGAGAGAAATGTAATTTAAGAATCAGCGAATTACTTCAAAAAACTCAACAATGTCGGGTCTCAACTTAAAGTTTCAGTCAAAGACTAAGCTTAAAAATCGATGTTTCTGGGATAAAAGGAATTGAGTTTTTGCCTCAAACTCAAATCTTCTGATCCCAATATCTTTGCAACCTGATGGTGCAAACCTTTGATATTTCAAATTTAGCTTATTTTATCTTTAAGTATTAATAGTTTGAAATATCTAAGGTCTACGAAATTGGGTTACAAAGATATAGAGATTAGAAAATCAGAGTTTGTGGTAAAAACTCAACTCCTTTCTTTAAAGAATAAAACCCGAACCAGAATATTACGTAGATACATAGACAAAACAAGTAGCCTGTAACCCTAGATAAATTAGACTAGATAGCTCATGTCGTCTTCATCATACCGGAGTGTTTCAGCTGAAATGAAAAAAAAATGAATTTAGCTCTGTACTAGCTACGTCCGACCATACAGTACATTGAATTTTCAACTTTAAAGTCTGCATAAACAATTTATTCTAACGTATCTGTAACATTTCTAAATAAAAGCAACTCTCACCTGATGAATATTATAGAAGCAAAATGACTTTAGCTAAACATTTAGTTATTTTTGTCTTTCCTATTCTACCGTATTATACTATTTTCTTTTTTATTCCATATTTTCTCTAGGTGTGGGTATACTTGTGATGTCACCAGTCTGTGATTTCCTACTTAGAGAACAAGGATGGAGATTAGGCTTACAGGTTATACAGTTAGGAGTATAGAATATGTATTCAATACTCCTTGGCATACACTTAAAAAGGTATACAGGTATACAGGTATACAGCAAGGAGTATAGAATATATATTCCATACTCCTTGGCATACACTTAAACAGGTATACAGGTATACAGATAGGAGTATAGAATATATATTCCATACTCCTTGGCATACACTTAAACAGGTATACAGGTATACAGCAAGGAGTATAGAATATATATTCCATACTCCTTGGCATACACTTAAACAGGTATACAGGTATACAGCAAGGAGTATAGAATATATATTCCATACTCCTTGGCATACACTTAAAAAGGTATACAGGTATACAGATATATAGGTTTAAAGGTATACATGTATACATGTATACAGGCAAACAGGTATAAAGGTATACAGACAGGTGTACAGGTATAAAGGTATACAGATATACAGGTTTACAGGTATACAGGTACACAGGTTATGTATGTATACATGTATACAGGTATACAGGTATTCAGGTATACAGGTATACAAGTATATAGATATAAAATTTGTTTATTTACAAGGTTTTTGATTAATTCTAGAATTTTTTAACCATATATCTAAACTGTTTATCATAAAAGCCCAAGTTTCCCAGCATGCTTTTACAGAATTAATATTAGATTAAAAACAAACTTTCTGATTTATGAAATATTTAAAACGTAGAATTCCAAATAATAAAGGCAGAAAGTACATAAATAAATTAACATTTTTTCGATCTTATCTTTATTCAATCAAAATGAAATCTCTTTTAAACTCACCAGTACAGATTTGTTTTTTATTACAAATATTCAAGAATATGTAATTTTCACAGACATGGGATCCAAAATTCAGTCCACCAATCGCCAATCCACCTTACATTAATGTATATGAGGATGTATGAATTATTGGGGTTTGTTATACATCACCAACCCTCCCTACCTCACGTCAAACTATATCAAGTAGAATGCATGTAAGATTAATTTCTTATGAAAGACCTGTTAAGAAGAACAAAAATATTTTGAATTTATAAATTATTTTGTCCTACACTTGTGTGTAAAATCAGAACTAGGGGAGCAATGGAGTCATCAGTAATGTCAACTGAACTTAACCTTCTCCTCCTGGTTAGTTTGTAAACTGTTGTGACCTACCCTGTAATGTATTTGAATTTAAAATCCATAAACAGGAGACAAAGCAGTTTATTGGTTTATGGGCAATACAAGTATTTATTTAAGCAGTAAAACCTAAATTTATTTTCATAAAACACTTTAGTTTCCATTTAAAACAAACACAAGGAACATAAAGATAATAGAAAAGAAAATCATTCTGTATGTTATTTTTTAAAGAAGAAAAATTTTCTGATTTTACTTTAAATGTAAAGCAAAGAAAAAAGTGCAAAGTATATGATTTAAAAAAATGAATGCATACAAGATACATAATGCAAAAATTAAATATTTGTATAACTTTTCCTGACATTTCTGTTTTAACAGTAAGGGAATTTCAAAGAAAATTAAAACTATCAGAGATGGAAAGTTTTAAATCTGACAGGAAGATTTAAACCTAGTCTCTCCTTGCGGGAAACTTAATAATTTTCTCTGGCAGATCTTAGAAATTTGATCGACGAGAAATCAGTTATTTTAAGCTCTGGCTTCATGAATTATTATTCTGGTTTAGAATTATACGTAAACCATCTAGCAAACATGCAATGGAATAAAATATTTATTTTCTAACAAAAATATTATTTCATCTAATGAAAATAAAATTATTTATTTATAAGTCCATTTAAACAACATGATAAAAGAACTTAGTTCTTTCAACAAACTATGAATTATCATAGATATCATAGCCTTAGCTTGAAATATCAAAGGTTTCATCTATCAGGTTACAAAGATAAAATAAATAAGGAAATATGAGTTTGTGGCAAGCACTCAGTTCCTTCTTCGATTTTTAAGATCCCATGCTCTCAAATGCGATACCAAGAACCCTTTAAACCTATTCTGAACCCTCGTAAAAACTTCTGAGAAATCCGCTCTGTCCTTAAACGATCCCATTAGGTTTTTTTTAAATTCTCTAAATCTATTAATATCCCCCAAACGAGTAAGATACCTTATGAAATCCTTTGATTTCCTAGGAAACCCACAAAACTCGCAATGGATCCCTCAAACTAGTTGTAAGATACCGTCAAACCCTATTAAATACTCTGAAACCTGACATTTTTGAACTTTAAAGCTATACCAAGATAAGATAAGATAAAGTTTATTGCTAAAATACATGTATCTGCATATACAGAACGAGTTTACAATTACAAATTGATGATTATATTAACAGTACAAGTATAAAGCAATTGGGTGGAAAATAGCTCTTGGCTGTTTTGATTATTTTTTCCACCTAATTTTGGTAATGATAACAAAACATTTCAATTAAATAGATTTAAGGAGAACGATTAGAGATCAGGGTGCGAATTTATCTTATGCAAAATAATTTATACATTAATTCGAATAACTAGAGTTTAAAGTAATTTTCTGACATGTACACAACAAATATCAAAGCATATTAAAACATCTCTAATTAATTTTACATGAATAGCAATTCGGTTTATAACACATTGTAATGTAATTTTCAAAAAGAGAATTTAGTAGTCTATACCATGATAACTATAAAAAGGTTGCTTGAACTTTCACTGGCTTTTACTTTTTCTATTCTGGCCATGTTTGTATAAATTGCAAATTGTAAAGTAAAAAAAAGTAACTCAACGTTTTAAAAGGATTTTATCGGACAACTCAGGCTTCTACTTAGCAGTAAACATGAATTGTGGTTTCATTAAACTAACACTAAACAAAATTTAACAAACAGAACAAAAAAAACGTTTTTAAAAATGTCTGATTAAATAATGATGAGACAAATGAGAGAAATCAAATAACATTAAAAGGTCTATCAAAAGAAAAAATGGAAGTTTAAGTTGTAACAAAGTTTTAACCCCAATATCTGTAAAGCCCCCTATATCCCCTCCAACTTCTTTATATTCTTGATTCATATTTGTATTCAGATGACATACTCAGTGACACACATACACAACTGTCAAAGGATATATTTTTATTAAACTATGCTAAACTAAACTAACCTAAACTAAACTAAACTAAACTAAACTAAACTAAACTAAACTAAACTAAACTAAACTAACCTAAACTAAACTAAACTAAACTAAACTAAACTAAACTAAACTAACCTAAACTTTTAATAAACTAAGCTAAGCTAAACTAAACTAAACTAAACTAAACTAACTAAACTAAACTAAACTAAACTAAACTAAACTAAACTAAACTAACCTAAACTAAACTTTTAATAAACTAAGCTAAGCTAAACTAAACTAAACTAAACTAAACTAAACTAAACTAAACTAAACTAAACTAAACTAAACTAACCTAAAATAAACTAAACTAAATTAAACTAAACTAAACTAAACTAAACTAAACTAAACTAAACTAAACTAAACTAATTACACTAAGCTACACTTAAAAACAACTAGATCGAGATTAATTATTGTTTATTATTGTTCGTTCCAACCCAACCCCCTCCTCCTCTTTGAACATAATACATTATCAAGTCCCCTTCCCGCCTCCCCCCCCCCTCTCTGGATAAGCTGGTTCTGACAAAAAATCTGAAACAAGAAAAGATGAGATGGTGTTTTATTTTCACACTTTTTACAAGTTTTCAATATAAACTTGTCTGAAAAGAAAATATTCCTTTTGATATTTTTCACACATAACTCTCTATTCTCCAAACTTGGAATTTATGCATAGATGCCCAGTGGCCGAATTTAAAGAATTTGAGCGGCGATTTAAATTTAAGCCGCGGTTTAAATATGGTTGGTTCCACTTAAAATTGCATCAAATGTTTCAAGATTTAAACCGGCGCTTAGTTTAAACCGGGTTTTGGCGGATTTAAACCGCGGCTTAAATTATAAGCCTTAACGAACGCTCGTTAACAAGTTGAACGAGCTTATATCTATTGCTAGAGAAATAACCTTTGCATTTTGTAACAGAAAAAAAACTGTTGTGAAAATCTGTAAATGGACCAATTTTATAACAACAGACCAAATTTTGAAAATTACAAAAAACTTAAATATTTTCATTGAAAAATTAAATTTATGTCTTATTTATTAACCGAATAAGAGCTACAAAAATGTTGTATTCATTAACATATAGATATATATATATAAGAAGAAACAGAATTATGCAGATTTCATAGTCATTGCCGAGAGTTTAATGATGAATCAGGGAGAAAGAAAACTAGAAAACAAGAACTTCAACAAATCCATGCTACCAGAGGAACAAGAACCAAGTCAAGAACCAATATTGTAGAAAAAAGACAACAGACAAGCCATGGAACCAAAAACAGAGATTGTAGATAAAACATGAACAGAAACAATAAATGATATAAATAATGATATAATGATGATATAATAAAATCAGATTGTTCCACAGAAGAGAGTAAGAAGACATTTATTCGTAAAAACTTTAAGACAGATAAAAACAAGATAGTAAAACAAAACGGGAAGTTGATAGAGGAAGCAGTCAAACTTTTAAATTCTCAGGGGTAGAGCCAACCCCTAAACATCACGGAGAAACAGATCTAGAAGGGAATACAGCATAAACAGCTAAGGAATCAAATATTAAAATATTGAATATGAAGAAAAAACCGCTGGATTCAAGATCAAGAGAAACATCAAGACCAGGAGAAACACCAAGATCAAGAACAAGAGCGTTACATGAAGACAAACATGTTGAGTTTTAACACAGAAAAACCAATTCCCTAGAGTGGAAACTAGACAGAAAGACACAGAGAAATAAGTACCAAGAGTGGAAAAAGTCAGAACAAAGGAATCGAGACCAAAAGAAAAGAAGAAAACAAGATAAAAGAAGAGGAATTATTGAATCAAGGAAGTTGGTAAAGGAAAGAAAAATTAACAAGAAAATGAAGGCTGAGAGAAAAGAGAAAGTAAGAAGGTTCAAACTTGCAAGGATAGTGATCCAAAGAGCTATTTTATAAACCCAACACGTTATGAAAAATCAACAGCTGTATCCACAACAAATACAGATTTAGACGGGTTGCAGCAAGGATAATAAGAAAGTTAATCTGGTTCTAGAGAATCAACCAGAAAGTTCAGAGAGACAACCAGCAGACAAGAAGGGATTAAGAGCAAGTCTTACAGTTTTGAAAACAGGTTCTAACCCTTTTTACCCTCACAGCTCTAGCTGAGACTGCAGTTGTGAAAACAGGTTCTAACCCTCCTACCTTCACAGCTCTAGCTGATAACGATGATAACACAAATGACAACGTAGACAGAGATTAGAGTCAAGAAAAGTGCAGCTTGAACAGAAGAAAAGGAGATAAACTGTGTTCGAGAAAAATCAGAGAAAAGAGGGCAAGATGAGTAGAAGCAAACAAAGACCTAATCAGGATAAGGAACCAGAGAAGGGGATCAGAAAAAACGCAGCAGAAAAACTGGAATATCTACGGGATAAAGAACCAGATATAGAAATCAGAAAAAACCTTGAAGAAAAACTGGAACACCTAGTCAAGCAAGAAAAATACCACTTTGGTTTGAATGGAAACTTTAGACAGGATAAGGGAGAGATAGAACGGGGATTAATTATGAGAGAACAGAGGCAAGAGATGATGATACAGGTAGTGATCAAAGACGGAGAGAGAATGGTACAATACTATAGAGATAAGGAGAGTGTGTATATAGTGCCAGCAAGCAAGAGAAATGGCGGATTAAGAACGATCAGTCTAAACCGGGAATCAAGCAAGGATCATCAGTTTCAAGAAACACATAGAAATAGAAGGAGCCAGATAGTTTCTGCAATTATGTGACATATAGTAATGCTGTTGTCATGGTTCTTCTGGCAGGTTTTGAGTTTGGAGAGCACCCCAGACTCGAAGGAAAGCAGCCATCGTCTATTGGTCCAGGACGATGAAGACAGGGGAGAAATAGATTGTGTTCTGGGTGCTCAAAAAAATGTGAAAGCAGAACAATTAAAAAAATTTATGAGATAGCTGAGTCAGAAGAAGAACACAGAAGGTTAGCTGAACTACAGAATGCAGCGAGGACTGAACAGTCAGTCAGCACAGATCCAGACTCAAGCATAGACCTGGAGCCAGACATAAATCTGGAGAGAGAGAGTTTGAGTCTGTAAGAAAGAGAAGACACTTGGAGCAGCAATATAGGGGTCAAAAGGTAGATGTACAGAAAGAAAGTGTAGGGCAAGAACAGGAGTGTCATGATTTGTAGAAACAAGAGTGCAATACTGTTCAAATGCTCAAAACCTCCTTCATTCCAGAACAAAAGTGCCAAGATGTTCCCAAGCAGAAGTGTTAAACTGATTATGGAAAGAAGTTCCAGATTTGATATGGACAGCAGTGTAACACCAACTTTGACGAAAAGTATACCATCAAAGATGAAAAGGATTATAGGATGAGATACAAGAAGGAGTATTTTAAGACACAGGAAAAGGGCTGTGACATGATAAAGGAGAACCAGTTGGAGATCATGAACGGCAAACTGAGTCAGGTGGTGTTAAGGAGAAAGTGCTATGAAAAAGATGTGCAATAACATGCAGAAGTTTGTGAAGAAGATCACTAATGAGAAGGAGTGCGACATCAGAACTGATCACCTGTGTAATGTTGAAAATTTCCAACAATGTAACCAGGTTCCTAAACAAGAGAATGTTAGAGTATGCAACCTGGTAAACAATCCTGTCTGCAATTGTATCCATGGTAATAAAATGATCTCAATGCAGTTCTCAAGGAAAAGGTTGGGATGAACCTACTCAAGTATACCAGAATATTCCCAAGATGGTGTACCAGAATGTTCAAAAAGGGAAAATCTTGTGACAAGCCTAGACAAGAATTACATGATGGGCCTAGAGAAGAGTGGCATGAGGTTCTCAGAGGGTATACTGACACATAGTCTGTACAAGAATGCAAATCTGTCAATGTTCCTGAATGCAGCGCTGTACACCATGAATTCTGTTGGGATGTTACAGGACAGATTTCTAAATTGGTTCCTAGACAGAAATGTTACAGTAAAATGAGGTCTGTCATCAAGTTCCAAAGGAGGTCTACAACAGTGTACTCAAGTTACAACAGATACCAAGAATGGAATATATGAAGATTTGGAGTTGCTGGAAATAAAGAATTATCTCCTCATCTTCCCCCCCCCCCCTTTGTAGCAAATATCATAGCAATACCCATATTTAGGAATAGATAACCCTAATTTTCAACATCCTCTCCCCCCCCCTTAGTAGCAAATATCATAGCAATACCCATATTTGTTAACATGAGCATACCTAGAGTAGATATACTAAACATGAGCTACGTAATAAGATTAAAATATGCATTGTAATTAGATTTTCTACGCTTATATTTATCCTCGCTAATCTTAAAAATACGTACATCAAACTTTAACTGTGCTATAAATATGTAACATGAGTGTCTTAATTAATCATGTGATATAGATAACGACGTAAGAATTGTAATTACATCATTTCACCTTAACTTGTAATATAAGATATCTAAATAAAGTTATTTTATGGAGTAACTCCGTACTGTTTATTGCAAGAGAGTAATCGTTCCTGGTTTGATAGTTACAGAGATCGCGACCAATTGTAGTGGCGTTGATAGTTCATGGGGTTGTAACCGACTGGTTGACTTTGATAGCAGACAGGTTGGACCTGTATAGATAGGTTTAGAGAACTTTTTATGGAGTAGGTGTGTACTACATATAAACATATTTACAAATATCGATCTATATATTTTATGTTATGGTAGATACATTTAATGGACGTATATATCTTAATAAAACACCTTTTCGCATGTTTTTTTTATTTATTGCCCACATAGTGTCAAATGTTTTTAACAGAATTGTATAACATTTAGATGATGTGTCTGATTCTCATTCCTGGAATATTTATCTGTCTCTTTTATAGACCTGCTTCTCTTTATCATCCACAAAGGTATAATTCATTCATCCATTCATTTATAATTTCTTTCATCCTTTAATCTTTGTATTATTTATCGTTAATGTTTATCATTCCTTTTTGCTCATTTATAAATGTATTTAATGCTTCTTCCTTTTAGCCTCTGTTCCTCTCTTTATTTATTTATATTTTCGTAGTGAATTTTCTTTTTTCCTTTTATCTTTTCATTTGTTCGTTTCTAATACTTTTATCTTAGATACCTTTTATCCCTTTTTCCTTCCCAATTTTTTTATTTTTTCACTTTTATTAAATCTTTTTCTTAAATTTTTCTTTATTAGCTTTATCAGTTCTTTTTTTTTGTTGCAAACTAACTGTTTTTACCAATTTATTTCTCAATTCTTATTAACTTATTAACTTTACTTAATTATTTATTCACTTCACCCCAATTCATTATATATTTTTATTTACTTTACTCTGTTTTTCATATAAACCTTGACTCCTCACCTTTCTTCAATTTTCTTGTTTTTTCTTCTCCAATTTACTTTTAATTCTTAGCTGTCGCAAACATGGTTTTCCTCAACTCTGTGTTTACACTTCATTATGTTTAGTACATCATCCCGTTTCCCCTCACCATTCCTTCTTCTCTCCTCCCACTTTCAACAGAACATAAATAACTAATTACCAATATTCTTAAGACTCTTCAGTTTGGATTTCTCAAGGTTAAGAATATATTCTAAAAGTAAAGATTATGATTATGTTGCATGCTCCTTTTTTACTTAGTATCTATAGACTGGCATCGTTTTTGTGACGAAGGAAATTTTTGAGAACGAACTAAATTTGTTTGTGAACGATGGTGTCGTTCAAAAAACGAATGATGGACGAGCAACGATAGCTTTTTAACAAACGATTGAAGATCGTTCGAAAAAACTTGAAAAATTAAATTTTTTAAAAAACTTTCGTTTTTACTACAGAACGAATTTTTGGAACAAACTTTTAAAAAACGATAGTTTTTTACTTGACGCACAATTTTTTATAAACAAACGATTTTTATACTGAAAGAATGTCTCTATTGAACAAATGATTTGCTGAACAAGAAAACAAACAAAATTGATGGAAAATGAACGATAATTTTGATAACGAAATTGGTCGTTCAAGAACAAAGAAAGACCGAAATGGCAAAATACCGAACCCGCCCATCTTTACTTGTAGTCCAATTTCTGAACAAGAGATTATATATATTCTCAATAATTGATCTTATAATCTTGTTAAAACTTTTAAAACTCAAAAGACATTGTAAACCATTACTGGAATGTTCTAAATAAGAATTTAACTTTAATGTTTTCGTTTTACCTGCAGGTATAATGTGAAATTGAAAACTTCATCAAGGTTTTGGAAAGTTTTTATAAAAGATTATAATGAGACTAACTTTTTGTAAAAATATGTAAAAAAATATTACTTTTTGTCCAAAAAGAAACTTGCCACAAACTCTAATTTTCTAATACTTTTATCGATCTTTTTAAGCAGATGGTGTTAACCAAACACATTTTAAACTTCAATCCTTTAATTTATTTTATTATGAGTAAAATCAAATTTTCTTAAACCATGTTGTAAAGATAAAGGAATAATAAATTAGATGTTGAGGCGAGTAATCAAGGTTCCTAAGTCATGGATATATAAAGTATTAAATTATCACAATTTTATTTCCTGTATAACACTTGTTCAACTTTTATCTTTATTTTGTGTATTTTATCCAGCTCCAAAAAACTTCCATCGATATAAAAGCAATGACTTTTTTCTTTAGTTTTCAGAAATATCATTCTAAATTCTTTTTTATATTTGTTTATTGATGTGAAAGAAATATATTCTGATCTGTTGAAAACTGAACAATGAGAATATTATTTACGTTTTTAGTATACACTACAGTCTAATGTAATTGCATACTATGTAATAGAGATGTCAACGATAGTGTAACGTAACGTAAAATGTACGTTTTTGTACGTTACGTTACAATAATATGAAACGTTTGGATATATTCTACATAACGTGAACGTTAAACGTTAACGTTATAGGAGCTCACACCTAACGTTAACGTTAAACATTAACGTTAGATGAACATACCCCCAACGTTAGCGGTTTGTGGTAATGTAACGTTATTTTTCTAATATCTACAACTTGTTTGACCATAACGTTAAGAAATGTTTTGTTTCCATGGGGAGCTTAAAAGTCTAACGTTTGAAAAATTTATTGTGATTTGATTGAATATCGTAACGAAAGGATTTCTATTTCAAAGTTCAACTTATAAAAAGTGTAACGTTGTATAACTGAAAAATGCATTACTGTTTATGAAAACGTTTAGAAACGATTTCCCTTATAGTATAATGAAAAGTTCAGAAGTGGGTTATTATTTTAATAATCAGGAAACGAAAGTTTTTTATACAGCGCATAAATTTTAATAATGTAACGTAGAACATTTAAAAAATGTAATTCTTTAAATCAAAAAGTTTCATAAGTTTTCTCTGAATACTAAATTGATTAGTCTAACGTTAGATATATGTGGCCTGAGTTGTAATTTCAAAAGTGTAACAATAATTCTGCCAATCAAAACATTTCAAAATGTCTCTAGTTTATCAATGTAAGAGATTCGACTGATGATTATGACAGCAAAGACTAATGGTTTTTTATTTCAAGTTTAAAGGAAATGAGTTTATGTCACAAACTCTAATTTTCATTTACTATATCTTTGTAACCCGATGTCGTAGACCACAAATATTGAAATGAAAAAGGTTTAAACCATTAGGTTGGAAAGATTACAGGGATAAGTTTGAAAAAAACTTAGTTTCTTTCTAAATTGTAAACAAGTTTTTTTGTAACATTCTATTATTGAAAATTCAAATCTTATAAATGTTTCTTGGAAATTAAGGGTTTTAAGTTGCCATTGTTAAATGAAACCCACTAAAACTCCGGAAAAGAAAGACGACATTCATGAAATTTTACATATGCATTTTCTGTTGTAAAACAAATAATTTACTAATGGCAAAAAAATCAACTTGGGTCTGTGAACATAACGCAATGGCTGTGTTTCATATTTATTTGACTATTTGAAATCATACCTTCAGTTGACATGGTTCATATTTTAGGTTGAAAAATTTAGAAATGAAAAAAAATAGTTTATCAATTGGAAACTGAGTGTTATGTTTTATTCATCAATAGATTTTTATGAAACTTTAGAAAAGCATAAATTTTTTAATCGATTTGTTAAAAAAGAAAAAAATGTTATAAAATTTTATTTCGAGTTGTTTGTGTAAAAAAAAATTTAGCATTTGTCTTACTATATTTGATATTTTTAAGCCCAAACATGAACACTGAAAACATTTTCATTGTGGTTTGTAAACTGAAGCTAATGCCGCTTTTTTACTCACTTTGTAAGTAACATAAAAAAACACACAAAAAGAACTAAAAATTCGCCACAAATTATAATTTTCTAATCTTTACATCTTTGCAAAAGGGGTTTGCCTTGCCGAATTTTAATTCATTTTATAAAGTGTCCCAAAACATGTCTATTTTTTAAGCTCGTCAAATACACAATGATAGTGATCCTCCATTAAAGAGGGCCATGCTCAATTCCCAATGGTAATGTGTATATATACCTTATTGATTGAAAATACAAGCGTTTTCCTATCTTGTAAATGTATGCTGGACATGACACTCCATAAATTTGAAAGGTGACTTGAAATTACGTCTCTAGTCTCTTTAGGACACACCCTTGAGAAGTCTAATGCTAAAAATTTTCATTCACAAATTTAAAAAACCGTTAAAAATAACAATATTATAACATCTTTATATTGCATTTTCTTCTACACATTCTCTAAAAAGGTTAACAATACAACAGCAACATTGCAGCTGGTAAGTAAAAAAGGGATTAACAACACAATTTTTTCCATGGTTCATGTTTTAGGATGAAAAATACTTAAGTAGTAATGTAATTATCACAAAAAAGATCTTGTAATTTAGAAACAATATTATTTTTAATGAAGTGTAACGTAAGAAACGTTCAGGCCTGAACATTTTAATACAACGCAACGTATAGAACATTTTTTCAAATCTTTCTTAGAAACGAAACGAATAAACAGTTTTGATTGCCAGTTGTAAAAAAGTATAACAAAAAAAGTTTTCACAATAACGTTTTGATAAATCGTAACGTAAGAAAAGTTGCATTTTAGTAAATTTTCTAAACGTAATTGAAAGAGTTTATATTGGAAAAGTTGAGATAAAGCGTAACGTTAACAAAAACTATTCTATGCACTGAAATGAATTGCAACGTACAGAACTATGCCCAAATGAAGTTTTATGAAAGCAAAACGTTTGTCACCTTTTAGTTTTCAAATCAAGTGAAAGTGTAACGTAAGGTCTCTAAAAATATTTACCTTACATGAAAGTGGAACGTTAAAAAATTGTGTTTATATTAAAAAAGCTTTAACGCAACGTTGGGAAAGTTTTTTAAAACGGGAAATGCAAAAGTGTAACGGAGCTTCCTTTTTTCACTAACGTTTACAAAAGCTTAACGTTGTATAAGGTATTCAAGTGCAGAAAATTCATTACGTAACGTTACACTATGCCATAAAATTTCATAATGTGAAACGTAACGTTTCAAACGTTTATACTTTTGATGAACACTATCGTAACGAAAGCTAAAATCTAGAAAAATCAAAACGTTGACATCTCTACTATGTAATATTAGATACATTATTATCATAATACAACATTCCTAGTAGTTCTCCAATAATCTTGTAATATTAGATACATTATTATCATAATACAACATTCCTAGTAGTTCTCCAATAATCTTGTGGCTGTTAATCTTAAACGTGTTGGATTCATAATTGAAGGGATCTAGAGGCGTTCCAAAAAAGAAAAGACATCAGAGACGACTACGCAGTTTTAAGATTTAATTTATTTTCTTCTTTTATGCATCCCTTCATTTTTTCCAGGCTGATTAACAAAACAAACTTTTGGATTTTCCCTTCAGTAACGTTATTGTCAATTTATCACATGGTCTTCCATTTAAAGAGATGATGCCCGATTAACAATGGTACCCTTCATCTTAAAACCTTTATATGATCAATATATAAGAAAGATATCGTTGTTTTGCTTCAATTTGAAACAAATATTTTTTTTACAGAGAAAAACAAAGAAATTTTATTGTATATTGTTATTGTAAATTTGAACTGTTTAGTTAAAATGCAAATAATTTGTGCCATTTTATTAAAATTTCCACCCTTAACTAAACTTCTCTCAAGTATCTGGCAAATCTTGGGCCAATTGAGAAGCTAATACGGATTTTTGAATGAAAAGCGGGAAAGTAAACTGGAGGAATCCTGCTCGAGAGGTTTATGTCTTACTGTTACTTTGTTAAAGGAAATGAGCTTTTGCCACAAACTCTAACTTTTCCCGCCTATATCTTAGCAACCCGATGTTGTAGACCTTTGATATTTCAATTATGAATTCTGTTAGATTAAATAATCTAAATTTGAAATATCTTTCTTTAGTTTACACCATTAGGTTGCACAGATGTAGCGCATAGAAAATTTGAGCTTGTGGCAAAAACTCAAAATCCTTTGTTCAACAAAACTTAATCTATCTATATACGTTGCTTGTCTGGGTGTTTGTTTGTATTCAATAACCGTTATAACGGCAAACCGATCAGACCTAAATTTTGTGTGGGACTTTACATGTCCCCAGGTAAGGTTTATGGATGAAAAAAATTTTAAAAATTTACATCCAAGTAATCGATTTGCATTAAATTTTGAAAACTTTTTTGATTTTGTTTTTCGAAGAGAAAATGTTCACAATTGAAGATGCTAAGAAATCTAAAAGCCTAATTAGTAATAAATATATTTAGGAGAGCTATGCAGCATATAAAGTTTCATCAGAAGAGAATTCTTCTTTCAAGATTCAACCCAGCAGACATAGGAATATTTAGGTAGGTAGATAGATAGATAAATAGACAGATAGATAGATAAATAGATAAGTAAAAAGATAGATAGATAAATAGATAAATAGATAGATAGAAAGATATATAGTTTGATTAATTGATTGATTACTTAATTTATTGTTTTTACTGATTGATTGATTAATTGATTAACATATTACTTAATTTATTGTTTTTACTGACTGATTGATTAATTGATCAACATATTACTTAATTTATTGATTAATTGATTAATAGATAATGAATAGATAAATTTAATGATTGATTAATTGGTTGATAATTTGATAGATTGATTTATTGGATAATTGCTTAGGTTAAACTACAACTATCTGTGCAACCGTGATGTTCTCCTTCTGCTTCTTTCCTCTGCTTTATTATCAAGGTAAATATGTAGTTTCTTTCTTCCTTCTTTACTTTCATTTCTTTCATTTCTTCCGTCATTCTATCTTTCTTTCATTTCTTCATATAACCTTTCTTTCTTTCATTTCTTTATCCAACTTTTCTTCCATTAATTTCTTTATCCAACTTTCTCTGAATTGCCTTTCATATGTTCACATCCTCATCCCATTTTGCATCCTTTCATTTTTTCATCCAACCTTTCTTACTTTCATTTTTTTATCAAAACTTTCTTTCTCGCCTTGCGTCCTTACATGTCTTTATTCTTATTATGCGTTTATCCTTATTATTATTTACGGTTAGGTTAAGCCTTCTGAGGCTAGGATGGGGGATGGAGCCGAGCGCTGCAGCTATTACTTGTTTTAAAGAAAATATAGTACATTATTTAAGAACATATAGTACATTATTTAAGGTTAGGTTAGGCATCTAAGGCGCCAAAGACTACAATGGGGGGCCGAGCGTTGTGGCTACGATGGGCTAGGGGGCCAAGTGCTCCGGCTAGGATGGGCTAGGGGGTCAAGCATTGCGGCTAGTATGGGCTTGAGGGCCGAGCGCTGCGCCTATTACTTGTTTTAAAAAATAATATAGTAAATTCTTTAAGGAAATTGCTACTTGGGAAAATGTACATTTGTGAAGTTGCCGCTTTTCCTTCATGAGGAAGTTGCCACTTGGGAAATTGTTACTTGGGAAAATGTACATTTGGGAAGTTGCCGCTTTTCCTTAATGGGGAAGTTGCCATTTGGGAAATTGTTACTTGGGAAAATGTATATTTGGGAAGTTGCCGCTTGGGAAATTGCACATTTGGGAATTTGCCGATGGAAAAAGGCCTTTGGGAAAGTACCTAACATCCATATTATGTATCGTAATCAGTTTTTAAAAATGATGATTTTAGTTTTTTAAATGAGTCTTTGCCATAAACTCTATTAGTCTAATTATTTCATCTTCGCAACCCAACGTCATAGACCTAAAATATATTAAATTATAAATTCTATTAAATAAAAAATCTTTTAGAAGCAGTGGAGAAACTTAGGAAAAACAACTGAAAAAAAGTAAATATATATATTGTCTGTCTGTATTTTTTATCTAATAAACCTGAAAAAGGTTGCAAATATAAAGGAATTACAATATTTGAGTTTGTGTCAAAGACTTAATTGCTTTCTAGCGGATTGTGGACGCCATTCTTCATGATTCCACAAATAACGATCTCAGACAAACATATTGCAGGTATAATTTAAATGTATAAATATAATAATAATAATAGCAATAAAAATAAAAATATCTAAAGCGATGATTTAATAATGATAATGATTATGATTTTAATATTAACAATGATAAGAATAATAATTATTTGTTCAAGCAAAAATAATAGCAAACATTTTAATAAACAATAATTTGAAAAATAAAATGAGCCATATGTCTATATCTAAGAGCGTGACACCAAAAATGCAATTTTGGAATAAGAAACATTTACAAAGATATAAAAACACTACTTTATTTTCAACTGTTTTAAAGAAAAATGAATTTTAACAAAATAATGAATAATAATGAAATCATACTTTTCAGGACACATAACTGATCTCTATCTAGCTTTTGGTATTTCCATTTTTCTTGGATCTCTTTTCTCAGGTGATCAAATTACAGCAAATTACCATTTATCTGGTGCACTGTAAAGAAAACTAGTAAATATATATATATATTGTCTGTCTGTATTTTGTATCCAATAAACCTGAAAAATAGTAAATATATATATTGTCTGGCTGTATTTTGTATCCAATAAACCAGAAAAATAGTAAATATATATATTGTCTGTCTGTATTTTGTATCCAATAAACCTGAAAAATAGTAAATATATATTGTCTTGCTGTATTTTGTATCCAATAAACTTGAAAAAAGGCTAATCTGATCGGGCCCATTTTTTTAGTAACTTATACGGAGGGTTTACTGTTGATCGGAAAAAAATGTGTGCCTTAAAATTTAAAATTATTAGGGAAATTCCATAGGTAAATAAATAAACATAGATAGCTTATGTACGCAAAATCACCAAGAATTGTACAGTCCGCGAACTCATACTTCTAGTGATCAAAGTGTAATTCAGTGATAAGCGGGGTGGTTTGGTGTTTTAATGGATTTCATATAATAAGTGTAAAATAACTCCGGGAATGGAACTATTTGAAATACAATATTTCACTGAAGAAGGACATGAGAAGGACTATACTAACTTAAATTTCTCTCTACAGAACTCATGTACACCACAAGTACTCAATGACATAAGAACAGCCAATGTTTACAACCGACCTGGTTAATCTATATAATAGGAGTATCTTTAAACCATTTCTGTACATTTATATCTTTCAAGATGAAAAATGTCGTCTTATGCGCAATCGATCTTTATCTATGGGAAATTCGCGAATGAAAAACAGAAAAATGTGGAATAGATCCCGTCGTTTTTCTTCCTCAACAAATGTTATTACTTTAAGTTTCTCCATTTTTTCTTTAGAACTTTCGAGGGAAATCGCAAATGAAACAAACAGGTTAAAAATGAAAAAAGTACGTGTTTTAGAAGCAGTGGAGAAACTTAGGAAAAACAAACACTTTTCGAGTCAGAAAAATGACGGTATTTTACACATTTCCGATCAGATTAAGGTTTGTATGGTACTGTTGTTAATCGGGAATTGTCATTTTTGCATGGAGGTTCACTTGAAATTACGCTTACAGTTCATTTCAAAAACATAATAAGTGTTCGGTAAACCTTTAAGTATTTTGATTTTAAAGAACAACAAATGATTGTAAAGGAACTGAGTTTTTGCCACAAACTCATATTTTTTTACTTCCCAAATCTTTGCACCTTGATGTTGTAAACCTATCTATAAATTCTGTTACATAAGATAGTCCAAGTTTGAAATTTTAAAGGTATTTATCGTCAGGATACAAAGATGTATCTATTACATGACCCGACAGCAATTGTATTTTGAAGATAATAGGCATTTGGGAATTTCCCAGATTGGAAAAGTAACTGAGTTTTTGCCACAAACTCTGATTTTCGAACACCTTTATCCTTCGCAACACTATGTCGCAGACCTTTGATATTTCAAACTATGAATTCTGTTAAATCAAATAGTCGAAGTTTTAATTATCAAAGGTTTACGCCATCATATTGCACAATGCACAGATATATGGATTAGAAAATTTGAGGTTTTGGCAAAAACTCACTTCCTTTCCCAGATTCCCAGGCATTTAGGGAATTCCCAAAATTTGCCAAAGGAATTGAGTCTTTGGAACAAAATCAAATATTTAAACCTCAATATCTTTAGAACCCAATGTTGTAAACCTTTGATATTTCAAACTCAGATTATTTGATTTAACAAAATTCATAGTTTGAAATATCTAAGGTCTGCAACAATTTGTTCCAAAGATATAGTGATTATAAAATCAGAGTTTGTGGCTAAGACTCAATTCCTTTCTATGGACATTTCTGGTTGGTATATTCCTAAGATTTTGTAAATTTCCCAAATGACTGGATATTTGGGAAATTTCCAAATTTCTGGGTATTTTGGAAATTTTCCAAAAACAAGGTATTTGAACATTTGAGTGCTCACTTAATTCTTTAATTATTTGATAATTTTATTGTTTCAATATTTATTTTCTAGGAATATTATTCTCAGTTCGATCATCTAACTGTAATATAGGGATTAAAAATCAAGGTAAAACCAGAACATAATATTAATGAAAATATCAATAATTTAGTGAGAATAGAAGACATGTAGAAAAATGCTTCTGAAATAGTTGTAGCTAAAGACTTACAATCCTCGTTTATCCTTGATATCATCTCTGGATTGTTCAGCAGATTGACCAATCCAAAAAAACTGAAAAAAAAGCCCTTCAGCTTATAACCATTTTTCCTTAAGGCTTCTCGTGAAAGAGTTTTGAAACTTTCTGAATTATTACCTAGAATGGCAATTCTACAATCTCATGATTTTTTGAAATCGGTATAAATTAACATAATTAAATATTGGATTTCCATGTTTGTTTCAGTTACCACTATTATTGCATATTCAGATTGGAAATATGTTCTATAATAACATAATCCACTGAATCCTTGATGCCTAGTAATTTAAAAATCAGTAAGGTTTTGAACATCTCTCTTTAGTTATAATACTGCGTTTTAAGAACAAAACGTTTTTGGTAAAATTAGTTTTCAGTTTTGGGTCCGGATCCAGTGAGCTCAATTGTCCCGAATCCTTAAAACCGATACAAATTATTATCAAAGTGTATCTTTTTTCAGTGCAGAGCTGTTCAGTTCTGATGGGAATATGCATCTGCGTATATAGGAGAGCAAAAACTATTTCTCATTTAAAACTTTTAGTTCAAAATCAAATACAGATATGCTTTAAAGGAAAATTTTACTGCCTTCAGAAGATTTGGTAAATATATTTTAAATAGAAATATGTTTTAAGTAGACATATGTTTTCTATTCGTAAAACTTTATTCTAAAAAGTGTTGCCAATTTAAGTAATTTAATAAAAAAAAACCTCAACGAAATTCTTCGGTTGAGCTATAAGTCTTTCCAAAAATGGTACAATTGAAAATATGACATTTTTAAATTGATGAATCTGGAACCAGATTAAATTAGTGTACGAATCAATTGAAGTTCGTAGATTAAATCAATTCACTTGTCTTCATTTGAAAGCGGCGCACAAGAGAACTGGTTGAACCGTTGCGGCGGTATTCATAAATTAATATCTAGCTATAACTTACTCTAGATTTAGATTGAATTCTAAAACCTGAATTTACGCTCTTTGTTCCATTTTTCAAAGTATGAATATTAGATAATTTCTTCGGCTCAATGGAAAAACAATTATGTGAACTTCTGAATGTTTGAATATTATGGAATTTTGCGGACTAGTGAGAAACAAGTTCAGTTTAAACTACTTTGTATAGCTCTTTGAAAGCTTTGATATTTTGGAACAAGTTTGACATTTTATTTCGACTAATGATAAACATTTTAAAAATTACAAAAATTATTGAAAAGTAAATGTGGATAGGAGGAGAGGGAAAAGGGAAAAAAGAATGGCGTACGTTATATGTTTAGCTTGTATTTTATCTAGACACTAACTAAGTAAATATGTTTCGGCTCAGGCAATTTATTTTGATCAAAAAATATTTAAATTGCGTAAAATTAATTATGTCTGCACTAATCTTGTGCGAATTTGTGTTCTGCTGCATCTTGCAAAAACATTGATCTAATAAATTGCAAAAACTGCAGTGCAGAAAATATCTTAATCTTATCACATATTGAATTCCGCCAAATCAGCATGTTTCTGGGTTCTTTCGGAGAGACTCAATTTTTGATTTATTTAGGCATTTTTCTCTTGTATTAATTTGGTTTATCATATGAAGATTAAAATAACATGCTAAAAATGAACTGATTGCTTTCCTTTTACTTAATTTTTTAATACAACTGGTTCGTGTTATCAGTTGCGAGCTCTGACCCGGACATCTCACAAAGATTTGCCTGCCTAATATTCTGTTCGATATTTCTATCAAAATGTTCGTTATATCAAAATGGTTTCCGTTCGATATTAAGATTTGAACTAAATGCTAGAGTTCCATCTAAAGTTGTAAAATAATTTATAAACGTACCATGTAAAAATTTTCCATGAAAACTTCAATAAAAAAATATATTTTCAGAATATTGTGACGAACCTTAAAACATTAAAGTATGACTTACAACATTTTTTGTTTGTTTGTGCAACCCAGCAGTGTTAATAATCCTTTTAGATCGTTTTTGCATATATTTTCTCTCAGGTCAAAATTTGGCATTGGATAAGAAAGGCAAATGTTTAAAAAAAATATTATTCTAATAATATTTGCTTTTCCTACAATTTGGCAAATTTTGACCCTGACAGAAGAAATATGCAAAAACCGAATCAAAAACAAACGTGTTTCAACTATAATTTTTTGTTCTTTTTCCATTTTTTAAGATGAATATTGCCAAGTACAATAACAGCAAACTTTGACAGAATAGAGTTTTGAAATGAAGGAAGTTGTATAAAAGTTGTTTAAAAACGAACTAAAGCGTTTAAAGATCCAGGTTTTTTCTCATAATCCACAATGGATATTCTGAGAGAACAATTTATTGAAGGAAAAAAATGTTAAAAGTTGAGATTTCCTTTATTCCTTTTTATTATTTGTTGTAAAAAATTAACAGTTCAAAGAAATTGAGTCTTTGCCACAAACTCTGATTTTCTAATCCCTATATCTTTGGAACCAAATGTTGCATACCTTAAATATTTCAAACTATGAATTCTGTTAGATCAAGTAATCAGAGTTTGAAATATCAAAGGTTTACAACATCGAGTTCTAAAGATATTGTGGTTTAAATATTTGATTTTGTTCCAAAGACTCAATTCCTTTGTACCTTTCCCGGCAAATTAAGTTTTCCTTACCAAAGTTAACTTACTTCACTAAGCACTTTTAAGCCAAGCTAAGAACTTTTCTGTGGTTCTACCAAGTTTCCCAACTAAAATTTGAGACAAAGAATAAAAATAAACAGACAGACACGCACAAAAACAAAGATTATAACATTATATATATGGAAGCACATTTTTTTGTTAAAAATTGAAAGATTAGTTTTCGCTGTCTGTTAGTTGTACAACTGGTTACAAGGGACACATGATGTTTGTTGTTATTTACGGTTTACTCACAGGAAGTGTACTGCTTTCTACCAAATTGTTTGTTTACACTCAAACCAGGTAAAATAAATAAACATTGATTTTTAGAATTTGGTTTTTGACCCAATCTATTTATTAAATTCTAAGGAAAAGGGTCCTCAACATGGTTTTTTATAAAACATTTGTGGGGTTTTGCTTAAATTTTCTCTTAACAATAATAGCCTATGAGAGCAGTTACGCAGTTTATATAACAAATACAACAAGAACTTAGATTATAACATACATGAAATAAAACTCTTTTAACTGTCTTACATTCATAAATGAATACAATTATGTATCATTAAATTTCTGGACAGATTCTTTTTACTTTTCTATTATTATCTAAACCCTTTATAATCAAACACTGCAAGTGAATGTGCATAATTTAATTTCGTTAACTGTCATCTTAGACAATAAAAAGTTTAAATAATTCAGGAGAACCGAGTTTCACACAGTATGGGGTCTAGTACAGGAAGCCTATTATTTTATAATATTTTATTTTCAAAATGTAAATTTTATCAATAATAGATTTTATCCAATTTGCACTTTTTTCCAGATTTTTAAAATTTATTTTTCTTTACTTTCCCAACATATTCTTCATCATTACCCCAAGATTTTGTTATTAAAAATATTTGGTTAGTTGAGTATGGGATTACCATTGCTTGTTAGCGTCCTACTGTCTTCGATGTTTAGTGATGGTGGATACTCATTTATAGTCAGGTATTTATACCAGGTTTAACACAAACCAAACCACATTTGTGGACGAAAAAGTTGATATAACGTTTTAAAAAAGTCTTTTTTCTCTTTTTTTTTTGAGACTTTGTAATCAAAATAGGAATCATTACCGAAACCTATATCGACTGCAGGGGTAATTTTTATACTTAAAACTGCGTTCACCTACAATGGTCGGCACATATATATATATATATTTTAGCTATATCTGGCCAAACGGCTGGACCAAATTATTTTATTCCCTTTTTTCAAAATTTAACGGTCAACGCCTGGCACTTCAGCTGCATTATGATGTATCAATGATGATGACTTTCTACTTAAGCTTTAGTTTTACAGCAAACTGATAGAAGGGGGAAAAATCTTTTATTTTACGTCATCAATTCGCGTGATGATGCTAAATATATCAAAATAAGATAAAGGAACTCAGTTCTTGCAAAAAACTCGGATTTTTCTAATCCCTATATCTTTGCAACGCGATTTCGTGGACCTTTAATATCTTGAAATATGAATTTTGTTACATCAAATAGTCTGAAATATCAAAGGTTTTAACTATCAGGTTACAAAGATATAGGGATTCGAAAATTTGAGTTTGTGACAAGAACTCAGTTTTTTAGGTTTATTTGTCATAATCATCCCTGAAATCTTATTATCAATTAAAAAATATGAAAAAAAAATTCGGCGGGTTTCCAATGAAAATCTAAAAGTCTCCAAAGAAAATCTGGGGTCTCTAATAATAGGTTTGTGGTCTCCAATGAAAAGATTAGTGTCTCCAATGAAAATCTGGGGGTATCCAATGAAAATCAGTGGATCTCAAAGAAAATCTGGGGTCTCAAATGAAAATCTGGGGGTCGGCAACGAAAATCTTGGTTTTCAATGAAAAGCTGGGGGTCTCCAATGATAATCTGGGGGTCCCCAACGAAATGGTTGTAATGGTCGGTTTCTATGAGGCAGAAACCGAGCATTACCCCCAATGTTTGGTTTCTACAAGGCAGAAACCGCCCATTACTCCCTGATGCTCGGTTTCAAGGGCGAGAAAGTGTTAAAGTTTCCCAAATGTTATGGGGACAGTAAATTTTAGTGACCCTCCATTTTTTCATATCTATCTGAGTAACAATGTTTTTCTACCTTGAAAGTGTTAAATTATTGTCATTTTCTTCCATAATGGTCTCTAAAGCATAAATGATTAAACCATTTTGATAACTTTAAACTAGACAGTTATTATGTATAGGATATTTTATTCAACCTTGATCAGACAAAGATTAAAAGACTACTGTTGTAATTCTAACAAATGAAGGGTCAATAAAAAATTACGTCTCGAGTCCCTTTAATACATAGAAAGAACAAGATTTATGCATAAAAATATTATAATACTTTTTCTCTATTAGTGGAATACTTGTGATACTGTCAGCAGTTCCAATTCAATGGTGTCATCTTACCAGGTAGAAAGATAGAGCTAGATGATGTGTATATAGATATGTAGATGTATAGAATGAAGTGTAGATGATTTATATTTATTGATTGATAAATAGGTAAACGCATAGTTGGTTGAATTTTGCGGGATTTACCTTTAAAGGGACCGTTCACTTATTTGGGTAATTTCAGGGTAAACTAAACAGCCTATTCGCTCTTGATTGGTAATAGTCTTACTTTTCAAAGACAACTGTGGCCGGAGAAAAAGCCGATTTTTCGTTCAGAATTTGAGCGGAAAGGGACGGTCCCTCTCTATAGACACTATTTGATGTTTTTTCAGTAACAGCAGCCCAATAACATTTAAATTTATTTTATTTGAATGTCATTATGTGTTAGTTATTATGTACTAAAATATGAAAACTTTTGAAATTTGAGTTAGCAAGAAATTTACATTTTTCGCAGTAAAATGTGTATACAAAGACGACGTCTCTACGACAATCAATTAATCATTACTCGTATTTTGGTTCGTAGATTTTGTAATTTTTTTCCCGCATGTGCACAACTTTTCATTTGTCATGCCGCGTTCAATTCAGCTTTTTACACAGGCAATACACAATTTTGAATGCGATAAAATAGTGTTATTTTAGAAATAGAAAGTTAAAAAACAACAAAAATTAAAAAATAATGACATTTACAATTAACGATTAGATACTACAGTTTAATTCATATTCGAAATTTATTTTGATCCACAACATACTGAAAAAAAAACATCAATTAGTGTCTACAGAGAGGGACCGTCCCTTTGCGCTCGAATTCTGAACGAAAAATCGGCTTTTTCTCCGGCCACAGTTGTCTTTGAAAAGTAAGACTATTACTAATCAACAGCGAATATGCTGTTTAGTTTACCCTGAAATTACCCAAATAAGTGAACGGTCCCTTTAAAGAGTTCAAGAATTTTCCAAAAAAAATAATCAGCTAAGTCTTAAAAAATGACGAATGTAGATTTTAAAAAAACAGTTTTAACAAGACAGGAGAAAAAGACAATCAAACCAATTAGAAACCCAAGCTGATTTGAAAAACTGGCTTAAATATATCAAATTATAAATCAAACAATTTAATGAATATTAAAAACTAAAATGTGGACATTATATCCAGTGGTTTCATATACATCTTTAAATATGCATATCGATATATATTTAAAATATTTTCTGTCTTGATAATTACTCTTTTTATTTATAATTTCCTTAAATACCTGTCAGCTCGCCATTTTTTGGCAAAGTTCTTGAAATATTTTGTTGCATGCCATTTTGTTGCTTCCAAAATACACCCACCCAAAAACGTATAGATAAATAGATAGATATATAGAATATATTAATAGATTAATAGATTATATAGATGTTGACATTGAAAGATTTATAAGTTAATGATGTATTCCTAGATTAATAAATAGATAAATAATTTAATAATTTATTTTTATTAAGGGGTGTGGGCACAAGTTCACGTTTACAAATAAAACGATTTATCAATAAATATATTTCTAGTTTATTATCAAGGTCAATTTCTATTATTTTGTTTGCTCAAGATAGATTAAAAGTCACGTACCCCAACGTTTTGCGTTGCGCCGTTGTCTTAAAAACTTGACCATGGGTAACCCTATACACCACAGTGTACACTTATTTTCGCAGGCTGATCTTGCTTCCTGTTTTTCCTTAGGCTTAACTATTAGGTTTGGTTAAAAAATAATGATTTGTGTTAATCGCATGTAGCGTTGATTTGCCAATGACTTGTAGAAAGCTGGAATTTTCAAACATATTTGAGTTATGTTCTTTTGTCCCTTTCTCAGTCAGTCATAAAAAGTAAAAAGAAAGAAAATAAGGCTAGATAAATGTATAGAAATATAGATTTAGAAAATTATCTTAATGATCTCATGTTTCTCGGAGGAATGAAATAATTTCAGCTTGGTTTATATCTCTCCCAGAAATTACAGTGATCTTTATTTGTAAAAGATATTGGGATTCCTCCTTTTTCTAGATCACTATTATTTAGACTTTTTTCACAAATATATTTATATTCATCCCAGAAACTTCAGTACACTTGTTTGTAAACAAACATAGTTCGTACTATCAACTATTTAGGCTGAGGTTGCACACCGAGAAGGGAATGAAAGAACGAAATGAAATATTTTCGAATTCAAAATATATAATTAAGGTAATTAAAGATTTCTTAATAGTTTTTTAATGGGGAGCGATTTTGGGAGATACAATATATAAAATCATTTTAGCAATAACATGCAAACACACTTCAAATAAATAATTTTTTTCCCACAAATATTCATATTTAAAGCAACGTCCCAGAGGGAGAGAAGCTGCAGAGAAATTTTTTTAGGATTCATTCGAGACTTACAAGACGTTTTTAAGTGTGTATAATATAAAAGGAGGATTTTAAAGATCGTATTTGCGCTCTTGCTGAAAAATTAAACACTTTCAACTAAACTCTCATGTCTAGTCGGCTTCTCCCTTTAAAAATGAACTAAAAAAACTTTATATTTATCTCTATCTATGGATATAATGGTAAAGTTCCCTGATTATGATATATTCTGCTACCTATATGAACCAGATATTCATTATTGTATTTATTTTCTCTCAGGATTACGCTGCACAAAACTTCTCTGTAAAACCAGTGGAAGATAATAATCTCAAAGCTGAGGGGAAGAAAGAAAATAAAAAAGAAATCGATGAAAATGAAAAGGAGGATGTTTCAGGACTGAAAGGGACTGCGTAGTCTTAATTTAAAGTAATTCTCTATTTGAAGAATGGTCCGTCCGATTCACATTTTTTTAATCAAATGAGATATCAATGTTTGTTTCTTTAAAACTTGATTATTTTCATTTGTAGTTGCTCTACGAAAAGCGACTGCAGAAACAAAATTGTCAGAGTTTGAAGAAAGATGAAAAGAACGATATCTTCGATATTATTTATCAGAAAGAATGCAGTTGTGTATTCCCCTCGTTATACAAATACAACAACAGTCTCTTTAAAGAAGGAAAGAATGAAGCAGTAGAGATGGATGAGAAGATTTTGGGAAACCTGGAACAATTTTTGTACGAGGACTTTATTACATCATGTAATAAGGTATTGGTTCTATTTATATCAGGATCTGTAATGTTGAAATCATAATCTTTTCAACCCTATCCCTTAAAAATGTTTATCAACACATTTTTTTTTAATGTTTAATATGAATTGAATTGCCTACGAAAAGAAGAATACAACTATAGGATTCCTTTTTAAAATGTTGATTGTAATTGTATTTTTCTTTAAAACAAGGAAAACAGTTCTTGAGTAAAGAACTACTACAGAACATTGATCAAGTACACAATAGTAGCTTGATCACTCTATTGTCTATATATTTATTAATATTGTTTATTTGTCTAGTGCACATAGAAAGCAACCAGTGTATATACACTGTAAATTTAGAGCACAAATCGATTGCAAAGATATTTTTAAACATATCAACAAATAATATTGATAAATTGGACCCCTTATAAATATATTAAATTGTTTTATTTTAACAGCAGTTAGATAATTAGCGAAATCAAACAGCTGAATTGAAAAACAACTAAACAAAAATATAAATTTTCCCATTAGTTTATTCTAGTTTCTAAGTACAGGAATTGTACACTATAATCTCGACTCACTAAAATGGCCTGATTCATTTGGTTTACTGTCCCATTTTCCCTTTTACATTAAAACAGTTTACTTTAGCTATTTAAAAGTCGGTCTGGTACTTGAAATAAACCAGAGTATACAGTGAGTTAGTTGCAAGTGCAACTATGGAAAGACATTTAGTATTGCATTGAATTTTTTTGGATGACGCGAATAATTCCAGTTCATAACAGAAAAAAAATCTAGTTTTTAGTAAGTTGTTTTAAAATAATTTGTATGGTGTTCTGCCTTTGTCAAAATTAGTTATTTACTATTCAATTTCTAAATTGACAGTGTTCTGTTTTTAAACCTCATGTTTAGGTGGAGAACCAGGTTCTTCAAGAAGAATTAGAACAGAACAAATATATTTACTCAGAAAACCAGGAAACCAGTTCATACATCCTTTCTTTCATCTATTATTTGAACCGAAGACGTAAATTCAAGTGAACCTCTCTCCATTAATGTGGAATGTCAGGAAAATGACTATATGATTGTTGATCAGATAAAGGTGAAAGAGTATCGTTGTGCATAGAATTTGTAATCATGCATGGAGGGTCGCTTAATAATTACATTCACATTCCCCTTACTTAATAACATTTTGCATCCTTGAAGCTTGACCATCTTCCTTATTTGTTCTGTTTATTCGTTCAAGTTCTTAATTCCTTTATACATTCCACATTTGCAGTCAACATTTAATCCTTGAAGAACAGGGTGACCCACTAAACATTAGTATAGAATGACATAGCATTTTCTTTAAAATATATTGCGGCATTCACGCGTTAAATTTTTTACCGCGCATGCTTTTTGAAACGATAATAATAAAATATTTCTATTTCCTTTTCATAGTTTGAAATCAAATAGATATAAAGTTAACGATTCTAATTCAGTCTCAAACATTATAGTTAATAGAGAACACTTTACACTAAAAACAACAACAAATTTTATACCAAATAGCTTGCAACAGCATTTTTAATTTTAGACAATTTTTCATTTTCTATTGTGCAGACTACCGTATTACTTATAAATAACAAGTTTGAACTGGTTAAACAGGATGTCTGGGCCCAGAATGAGTTGGTTAAACAGGATGTCTGGGCTCAGGATGAGTTTAATATATTCCTAAACAAAAGAAGAAGATATTCTACGTAAAGGAATTAAGCTGCAATTATGTCCGAATAATCAAAAACAAATTGGAAAATAAATCATAAAATTGAATTAATATATATGTGTCTTGAGGGTGGAAACATTAGTGTTGTTAATCCCGGAATTATCTGGTTGGATATCCCGTATTGTTTGTACCCAGCAGGAATATTTTGCTGATAAACGAATATATGGTAGGATATCCCGTATTGTTTGTACCCAGCAGGAATATTTTGCTGATAAACGAATATATGGTTGGATATCCCGAATTGTTCGTACCCAGCAGGAATATTTTGCAAACCAACGGATATTTGGTTGGATATCCCGAATTGTTAGTACCCAGCAGGAATCTGGTTGGATATCCCGAATTGTTCGTACCCAGCAGGAATTTAACTAAATTAACGGGAACAAATTACCACAGTGAATATCGAGATCAAGAGTTGTAGATTTTTGTCATACATTTCACTCAAAAGTATTGACTTAAAAAGGTTTAAAAGGTCTCAAAGCATGTTAGACGTAAACTTTATCAAAAAACAAAGCATTTAAAAGAATTCAAAAGATTGTGTAGCTATTAGAAAATATTTAAAATGTAAAATGCTTCCTGAATGTACATTTGTACCAACAATGTTTATTGAAATATATCATCTAATGTAAAGCGTTAACGGTAGTTGCTATGGATGTCCTATGTGTTAACTATGATTTTTTCCAGGATGGAAAACTTATTTAATTTATTTAATTACATTTAAATTGATTGAAAGATTTTTATAAAAATTTGCAGAAATTGAAATTAGATCTCAAAAAGTTAAAAAATACTTAAGACAAAAAATCTAACTAAGTTTTTTATAAAACGTATAAAAAATTAAGTATTAAGTTTAAAAAGGAATAAAACATACCAAAAAAAAAACTGTAAATGTTTAAATCCTGTTTAATGAAATTGTAAATTTGTTAGATGTTATTTACCTTTTTAAATTTTTTTAATAAATTAGTTGTAGTTTAAGTATACTTATTTTTTAGCCCTTCTTTGTGTAAGATATTTTCATTATAACTTGGGAACAGTATCTTTCAGCATGCAGAGAAACTCAGTAGAGCATCAATATTAGATCCATGAAACAAATAGAAAACAATATTTTAGAATAATTTTGAAGCAAAATTCAGTTTTCAGAACAAAAAATGCATTTTCCTGAGGGTTCTACAAATATATATATATATTTATAAAGTTGTAATCTCAGTTTGCCTGTCTGTCTGTTTCTTTGTCCGATCATAACTCGGGAGCCCCTTAACCAATTTGTCTGACATTTTTATTGGGGAACTTGGGAGAACCACAGGACTGATCTTAGCTTGGTTTTGAGTGGGTTTACTTTAATAGCGATAATTTGGCTTCCCGGTAAAATCGATCAAGTGCGGGTAAACGGCAGGAGTAACTTTTAGTAACCTTGGTAGCGCTGGATTCCCAAGGTAATATCAAATAAAAAGATTAAATACATCCTACAGTAATCTACTCCATTTCAAATCAGCGCATTTTTGCCTCTGCTTGATGATATTTGATTGATATTTTTAACTATTTGAACAAATCATAATTTGTAATTTAAAGGTCTAAGAAATCAGGCTACATCTATTGTAATCTCTGTTTGGGTGTCCATGGTGTTTGTCTGTTTGTCTGTTTGTTTGTTTGTCCGATCATAATTCCTGAACACCTTGACTAATTTGCCTCAAATTTTGATTGGGGAACTCGAGAGACTCACGGGAATGTTCTTAGCTTAGTTTTAAGATTCTAAGTTGAGTGGGTCGACTTTAATAGCGAAAATTCAGTTTCCCGGTAAAATCGTTCAAGTGCGGATAAACGGCGGAAGTAACTATGGGCAGCGCTGGGTTCCCAAGCTAATATAAATTAGAAAATTACAGTGTGTGGCACGGGATCATTTCATTTGTCAAAAAAATAATAGCTTTAACGAAGAATCATTGTGATTTAAAGTTCTCAAGCTATCAAGAAAAGATCTATGAGAATTTTTCAAATTACTTCTAACAAAACAAAGATCGCAACACACACTTTATAGTGCTGAAATGTACATGTAAAGGGCTATAGAAAAGAAAGAGTGAGTAAGACCGGTAAAATCAAAGCCCAATTGGCGTTGCAACCTTCAAAGTCGACCCTATCTTAAAAATTGATAAGACCTTCAATACGCCGGCTGAATCTATAGTGGAAATCTGGAGGAATTAGATCTCTAATCTTTTATGTTTAGGGTGTAAGGGAGACTTTTAAAAAAAATATCAAAAAGTACTTTAGAAATATGTTGAGAAATAATTATGTTTACTATAAACAAATATTAACACGTGAACATGTTATTTCATCTATTTTTCAAGAGAATTTCAGAGAAATAATTTCAGATCTGTACCTTATTAAAGTTTTCACTGTTTTTGATTTATTTGAAACACTGAGCTGCAGAGACGTCCGCCTATCCTACCCTATGTATGAAATTTGAAGTTGAAAAGTGAAAATGTTTGAGCATTCTAGTGGAAGCCGTTTTTCAGTTAAAACGAGAAAACCACAGGGGATGGAAAAGAAGAAGGTTTTAAGAAAATAACATTAAGAGGGGTTGGGTAAAATCATGAAGAAGGTTTGTAAAATCATGAAAATAACAATAAGAAGGTTTGGGTAAAATCATGAAGATAACATTAATGAGGTTTGGGTAAAATCATGAAAATAACATTAAGAAGGTTTGGGTAAAATCATGAAAATAACATTAAGATGGTTTGAGTAACATCATAAAGATAATTTTAAGAAGGTTTGGGTAAAATAATGAAAATAACATCAAGGAGATTTGGCTAAAATCATGAATATAACATTAAAAAGGTTTGGGCAAAATCATGAAGAGAACATTAGGAAGGTTTGGGTAAATCATAAGGATAACTTTAAGAAGGTTTGGGTAAGATCATGAAAATAACATTAAGATGGTTTGGGTAAAATCATGAAAATAACATAAAGAAGGTTTGGGTAAAATCATGAAAATAACATAAAGAAGGTTTGGGTAAAATCATGAAGATAACATTAAGATGGTTTGGGTAAAATTATGAAGATAACATTAAGATGGTTTGGGTAAAATCATGAAGATAACATTAAGATAGTTTGGGTAAAATCATGAATATAACATTAAGATAGTTTGGGTATAACATTAAGATGGTTTGGGTAAAATTATGAAGATAACATTAAGATGGTTTGGGTAAAATCATGAAGATAACATTAAGATGGTTTGGGTAAAATCATAAAGATAAAATTAAGAAGGTTTGGGTAAAATCATGAAGATAACATAAAGATGGTTTGGGTAAAATCATGAAAATAACATTAAGAAGGTGTGTTGGTAAAATCATAATAACAACGTAAAGAGGGCTTGGGTAAAATCAAGAAATAACATTAAGAAGGTTAGGGTAAATCAAAAAAATAACATTAAGATGTTTGGGTAAAATCATAAAGATAACAATAAGAAGGTTTGGGTAAAATCATGAAGTAACATAAAAATGGTTTGGGTAAAATCATGAAGATTACATTAAGAAGGTTTGGGTAAGATTATAAAGATATCATTAAGAAGGTTTGGGTAAAATCATGGAAATAATATTAAGATGGTTTGGGTAAAATTATGAAGATAAAATCAAGAAGGTTTAGGTAAAATCATGAAGATAACATAAAGATGGTTTGGGTAAAATCATGAAAATAACATTAAGAAGGATTGTTGGTAAAATCATAAAAACAAAATAAAGAGGGCTTGGGTAAAATCACGAACTTACATTAAGAAGGTTAGGGTAAATCATAAAAATAACATTAAGATGTTTGGGTAAAATCAATAAGATAACAATAAGAAGGTTTGGGTAAAATCATGAAGATAACATTACGATGGTTTGGGTAAAATTATGAAGATAACATTAAGAAGGTTTGGGTAAAATCATGAATATAACATTAAGATAGTTTGGGTAAAATCATGAAGATAACATTAAGAAGGTTTGGGTAAAATTATGAAGATAACATTAAGAAGGTTTGGGTAAAATTATGAAGATAACATTAAGAAGGTTTGGGTAAAATTATGAAGATAACATTAAGATGGTTTGGGTAAAATCCATAGTCCACATATAAAGTTTTTTTCTCAATGAAAATATTCAATTTTTTAAAAGGGACAGTCTCTTTCAGAAGAGAATATAAACCCCTGAAAACTTGTTTACTTCTTGAGCTATTGAACAGTATTTGTAGATGTAAAGTAAAAACTATGTTTTCATATTCAAGGAGAATAAAATACAACTTTTTATTTATCATAAATCAGGAAACTGGATAGATTTAACCAAGGAGTAATATGAAAAGGAGAGAGTGATGTTGGGTTGTCTACTGTGCACGTATCTAAACATCTTTTGAACTTGTGTTATTGTAAACATACAACAGTGGTATCAATGCTTTCAGTCTGCATGTCTTTGCTCATGAATTCCATGCTTTGTTTACAATCTTTGTTATTATTTTCCGATAAGTACAGTGAGACCCGTAAAATAGTTGAATATGAACGTAGGAAGGCGACATTTAAGCTATCTTTTACTTTTTAATGTTGTTAAAAAGCAGATTGTTTAACCAGTTGCTTTAAAATCAACCAATCAAGTGCACAGTGTAAACTCCATTTCAACAGACTCTAAACCTTAGTAAATGTAAATAATGCTATTTGGATAAATTTAATAAAGATAAGATTAGTTAATTTATCAAGATCAGATGGTTGGATAATAGAGAGAAGATGGATGGATTGGTTCATTTATATTTTTTTCAGTAAATAGAAAATACTGGGCCTGTGGCAACTTCCCAAGTGTGCAATTTCCCAAGCGGCAACTTCCCAAGTTTGTCCTAGCCGCAGCACTCGACCCCCAGCCTGTTCTAGCCGCTGTTTATATAAAGGAGGGGCGGTAAGCTGTTAGTATAAAGTTCCTAACACCGTTTGTTTGTATAAAGGAGAAGTTACTACAGAGGAGGAGGGGGGACGAACTGTGGTGATTAAAAGATGGAGGTGAAAATAGTCCCCCCTTTATAAATACGCCAGAGATGCCAGATGTCTGTTTAT